ATGCATAGGTGCTTATTAGTAAAAGAACATATTGGCAGTTCCATGTTCAAACAAGTGATATAAAGAATATAGAAAAAGGATAAAGAATTCTATAAATAACCAGCTGTTGAAATTAATAAAATACCTGAATTCTACAGTCTACTTTGCTGAAGATACCAGATGGAAACCTAAGTTAGAAATACAACAAACCAGAGTATTTGCTTTCTTTGAAAAAAGCCAATTGAGGAGTAGGAGGTAACCTCTGAAAGCCTAAAAACAGCACTGAGGCTCTTGAATGATAGTTCAGAGAGGGATAGTGGGTACTTGTATGTGTGGATGCATGTGTACATGCAAATCTGAACTCAAAAATACATACCCCCAATTTAATTCCATGGTCAGAGTTCTTGTGAGACAGAGAATTCTTTTCTAAGGAAAAATGCACTTAAGGCATTTGGTCCAGAATCGTCCAAGGTTTTAAAATAGAGCAACATATACTGTCTTATCCAGTAAACAAAAAGCTCTGGGTCAGCCAGCTCAGAAACAGCAGTTTTTGTTTCCTTCATCACCAAAGTGGTGTGGCACCGTTACAAAAGGGATATGTGTATGGGACCTGAACCTCTTCCCACAGAAATCTGTGGAAAATTTTCCCTTAGGTTTCAGTGGGAGCAGAAATCTGTGAGGAGATGATGTTGTTCCCTTGTGCATTTTGTAATTAGATTAATTAAAAAGCTTGTTGCAACATTTTGTTTCCAGTCATAGGGAAGTTTTTGTTGTATTTACTATTGACTGTAAAGAAAACAAAAACAACAACCAAACGTGTATTTCAAACATGTAACTTCTATTTTTCCCTAACTTGCTGCAGCCTGTGTTCCTGTCCTTTCGAATAGCTGCTGGGGCAGGTAAACCTATTGCAAATGTGCACAAGTGTTGTGTCGTGCAGTGATGTGGTGGTAAATATCATCTTTTTTCTTTACGTTTCTATTACATTTTCTACATCATTTCCCCTGTGTTTATCTTTCTTTTTAAAAAAATGCCAATTCTGCAACAGGAAAAAGATGCCTACGTAGTGAGAAGATTTTCCATGAAACCACACTATAGCCAGGAGGGAAGGCAGCACACTGAAATCTGTAATCCCAACAGCTGTATTGATAAATCCAGTCCTGAGTGCCACATTTTAGACTGCTGATCGTACACTATGCTTCAGCATCTGGACTCTGTTCAAGAAAAGCCTCACATACCTCACTGTCTTGTATGTTCATGTGACATCAAGTAGAAATGTGGAATTATTTTTTATATATATGTCACAGTTCTGTTGCCAAAACTCTAAATAGACAGCAGAGATGTTACGTATTCTAGATTTCACAACTTTCAACTTTTAATAAGTGTTTGTCAATGTGGAAAAGCTATTTCAGCATATTATAAAACTTTTAAAGGTATCATACCCATTATATATCTTTACCACTTTGGGATTTTGTACATTGGATTGTATAGATAGAGATATTGATGGTTTTAAATGGTATTTTCTTTTTTGACCAAGGCTTATGGTTTGTGTTTTAGTTTTAGTATTTTGGTTTTTATTTTTTATTTTTTTTTTCTCATTTTATTTACTATACTGCCATGTTACATGGTTTTTGAATCACACAGCAGCTGCTTTCTATACATACATATATATGTGTGTGTATATATATGTATGTATGTGTATATATACACAGATATATAAATAATTTATAAACCTGACCAAAACTTATGCTAAATATACTTTCCAATATGAATGCTTGAGAGTGCCATATCAGCAGTAAGTATTGGAGTCTTAGCAGGTTTAGTTAAGTGTACATCAACAACCAACATTTATATAATAAATAATATATAGCAGTGCCATCCTGGATACAGATATATAGCATACTATATAGCACATATATTAGCAGTTTCACTTTGTTACTTCTATAACCTCTTCTTTCTATGTAATATTAAGGATTGAATGTGCAGTTCTTAGCTAGGTTTGGGTGTAACTTTACAGAATTTTGTAAACTGTTTTTGTCTGTCTTTTGTTACTGTTTTATGGTGCCATATTCTATATTGAAACAATAACAACACGGGAGAAGAAAATAATAGTCTGCTTCAAGTAGCAACTGTATTGGACACAGACTGTATTTATACAGTATTAAAGAAAAAAAAACAAAACCAACCATCAAGCCAACTGTAAATTTTCCTGGTTAGTAGCTCAGTGCAGCCTACAATATAGTCCTGTTACAGACATTTTCCTCCCACCACTAAATACAACATTAAAAGGTGATTAGGGAGTCTGTTGATGAAACACAAATGTATGTTTTATTGATTTAATTTAGAACACTACAGAGTTCATGGACTGCGCAATGGCATTAAATTGATGCTTAATTTTGGTATAAATCACTACCATTGGAAATGATTTGATGTCCGCTTGCAGAGTTTTCTCAACAGTACAACCCAGTTTATAGCAAGTATTGTTGCCCAAAGGGTGTCTGCAGCTCTGTATTGTTACTGTGCCATGTTGCATTATAACCACACAGTAATTCTATTTAAGCGAACTCAACTCATGGTAACTCTGAAGGCCTTTAGAAATGAGTACTCTGGTTCTCAAGCAATAAAACTAATCATGGTGAACATGGCTGTGTCTGCCCCTTTAATTTGGTGATTACAGAGAAATTATTAAATTGTCACATTTCTTATTGAGATACTGCCAATTAACAAGGGTATTTTTCAAATGAAAATCTCTGTGATAGGATGAGGTTCTGATGTTAATCAAAACACAATACAAACCGAGTAAAAGGCACTGAGGGGCTGGTATGGGAGCGCTGATGAGAGGAAGGTGATGCAGTTTACGAGCTGTTCACAAGATGCTAGTCCTCAGCAGGTCGGTAAATGTGCCACCATAAACTCCATGGTGATTATCACAAGTTCCAGAAGAAACCGCTCTAGCCTTTTCCAGCAGGGACCGAAGCCCCGAGTAGAGATGAACTCGCTGTAGCCTCCAGCCGCGGCCCGAGCCTCCCCGGGGCTGCCGGGGTGAGCTGCCGAGAACGCCCCGAATTGAACGGTCAGAAATTCATAAAACGTAACTTCGGCATTTTAACAGCCCCGGAGGCGAATCCGGGTGAGCCGGGCCGGAGCGATCGCAGCGGACACCCCGGGACAGCCCCGGCACAGCCGAGGAGCGCCGGGCTCTGGCCCAGGACGGCTCCTGGCTCCGGGCTGGCAATCCTGCGCTGCCTCCGAACCCGCTTCTCCCGGAACGCCCCCGGCCAGCTCACTTCGTTTAAGAACTTTGGGAAGAGGCAGTGGGAATGATTGGAGCGCAGGTATTTTTATCCAGCCACTTACCCTCAGGAGTCCGAATACTGGCCCGGTCTCAGCGTGCTCACAGCCGGACGAAGACTAGACCTTAAACTCGATTTATTCCCTCTGTAAACACGACATAACTGGGCGCGGCCCCGTTCAGTGAGCGGGGAGCTGCGGGACTCTCCGCCGTGCCCGGGACGCGGAGCTGCCCCGGCAGGAGCGAAGGGGAATCGGTGACAGCGAGCGGGGGCAGCGGGGCCCGGTGGGGCTCCAGGGGGAGAGCTCCGGGCCCTTTTCCGCAGCAGAACCGGAGAGCTCCGGGCCCTTTTCCTCAGCAGAACGGCACCGAAGCGGGGGCACACGCGGGAGCAGCGCTGGGCGATGGCGCCGTGCGGGAGGGCGAGCAGGGGAGGCCCGGGCGCTCGCTCCGCCGTGCGGGGAGCGGGGACGCGCCCGCCCGGCCCAGCGCTGCGGACCGTGCTGCGGGACCGGGGCCTGCGGGGCCCCGCGCCGGACGGTGGCTGCTGGGCAGGGACAGCAGGACCGCCCGCGGTACTGCTCGGGCTGCGAAGCCGTATCTGAGCTACGGGGGAAAAGACGCTCACGTTCCTTTAAAAAAAAAATAAAAGCGGCAAAAAAAAAGCAGGAACAAGGCGGGCGGCTCACAGCCACCCGGACTCGAGTGTGCCGAGGGGAGAAATGCGGAGTCGCGGGTGGCTGGGAGCGCTTTGGCGGCCGCCGAACCAGGCGGAACCGGTTCGGGCACGGGTGTACCCCGTTGTGGGGCCGAAGCACGGCCCAGAAGCCCGGCAGGAAGGCTCGGGAGGGTGGTGGATCCGCCGCCGTGGATCTCAACAACTTCGCCCCGGCTTTTCGCAGCAGGCGGTACCCAGGCAGCACATTGGGATGAGCCCCGGCCCCTATCTCCCCTCTCCGGAGCGGACCCTGTGAGCCGCCCGGAACGCTGCACGGGCACTTCAGGCTGCAGGTTCAGCCCCGGCTCTCGCTCCTCTCCAGGGCCGTCGGGCGGTCCCACAGCGCGGGTTCCGCGGGCCCCGGCCGTGCCACAGGGGCCGGGGCTCTCCCGGCTCAGCCCGCCGGACACAGCGGCTCCCGTTCCCTTGCGGAGCAGTATCGGGCACCCTGCAGAAGCTCTGGTGTGCCCGGTCCCTGGCACAGAAATGCAGGAAGAAACTCACTAAAGGAGAGAGAAGGTTGTTAAATAATTTATTGATTTATACAAAGTCTTTCCAACACGTGTGGAGACATTCTAGTGTAAAATCAAGTGTCCACTTTTTTTGAGCATTCGTTTGGGTTTTTTGGTATTATTAAGGATAAAATCCAGAGGCAGGAGAAATGAAACTGCCAAAACACTGAGGGACAGAGTGAAAGAAAACTGCCGTTTTTACACTAGAAATATACAGCACAAAATCTGAAATTTACTATATACAAAGTAGCTGAGCTCAGACTTGGGACCCATAAAAAACGTAACAAAACCTGATTGTTAGGAGCAGGAAATTAACAGGAAGGCTAAAGGAAAGAGCGGGAAACCTTAAAGGGACACAAAACCAAAAAAGCTGAAAAAATTTCTCTGAAATTTACATCGATGAGAAAGAAAATAAATTCATAACTTATTCTGTAAAAAATATATACACTTCACATCCATCTTAGGCTGTACAACACACCACTTCAAACACCCAGTTACACTCACCCCCACCACGCTGCCCGGTGCGGCCATCGGCCCCGCACCCTCACAACGTATCCGAGCTGGTGCTGCAGGGGCTGACGAGGGATAGGTTCGTGGATTTGTGCTTTTTCAATAGCCTCGTGATTTTTTCATCGTCTGAGTTGGGGTCCAGGGGCTTGTTGTATTCATCATCGTCCTCATTGTCCGAGCTCTCCTTCAGCTTCTCAGTCTCCGAGTCGTGCTTCTTCTTTGCTGAGGCCATCTCTGCCGCGTGTCTCTTCCGCCACTTGGTCCGTCTGTTCTGGAACCAAACCTGGGCACCGGCACCGGGCACAGCTCAGCCACGGCCTCGGCCCCGCCGCCGCATCCGCCCCCCCCGACCCCGCCGCCCCCATCCCATCCTCAACGCGGGGCTGCGAGCACTGGGAGCAGAGCCTACACCAGGCAGAGCTTCGGACGGCTCCTGGCAAGGGGGCACCCCGTTGGGGACACCCGCCTGGCTCTGCGGGGCTGCACGATGCTTAAATCAGCAGCTTCCCAGAACAGTAGTTTGTTGAAAACAGAATACGGTAGCCGTAAAAATAAGTATTTTTGGCTTATGGTGCATCCCAACAGTCAGGTGCACCTGCAGGCTTTGCTTAAAAAATTTGTGAGGTTACGAAGGATAAAGTTGTGCCAGTGGGCACGATCCTCGTGGAAAAGCGACTCTTAAAAAAAATTACCTGCGGGGCCTTTTTGTCGTTGTGATAGGGTTTTATATTAAATATAATATGTGTATTTATTTTAAATCGTTTGCAGCACAGAGAGCTCTAAGCACAAAACAGGTAAAAATTAGCCTAAAATCTATCCAATATCAAAATATAACTTAAATTCTAAGTGACTCTAAAAAAAATAAAAATCCCCACATAATTGCGCGGCGTTCGTGGCTGCTAGTAATTACGGACATGGCAGAAAGCGGCCGCGGCAGGGAGCAGGAGAGGCCGGAGCCCGCAGGACGGACCTACCTTCACCTGGCTCTCAGTCATCCCCAGGGAGTAAGCGAGCCGGGCGCGCTCCGGTCCTGCCAAGTACTTCGTCTGTTCGAAGGTTTTCTCTAAAGCGAATATTTGCTGCCCAGAGAAAGTCGGTCGAGAGTGTTTCTTCTTGCCATCCTTGTCCAAAACCATCCCCGTCTGAGCTGGAAGCGAAGAAAGAGCTGCGTCAGGGATGAACTCCGCACGGCCCCCGGCCCGTAGCCGGGCCCCGCCAGGCGCTGCGGAGCCGCTTCGGGTGCCCGCCGGCTCTAAAGCAGGGCTCGGTCCGGGACAGACCCGCGGCCGTGAGGACCGAGTGACCCGAACCGGGCCTTCCTGCTGCCCGCCCCGTCCACCGCGCTGGTCCGCCGGCTCTGGACCCCAGGCAGCCTGCTCCCCGCGCCCTGCAAGAACCGGCCGCACTTACCGGGACAGGCGAGCCGGGGATCTCTCCAAGGAGAGCCCTGCACCACTCCGGGCCAGAAAATGGGCGGCCGTCCCGGCAGCTCCGCCAGAGGCTTCGGGTAGCGGGAGACAGCAGCAGGGCTGAAGTACATCCCGGCCGAGGCCGCCAGCCCGTTGATACGGGGCAGCCCGCCCAGCAGGTTGCTGGCACTGCCCACGGGCCGCCCCAGGATGTCGCTTATTCCGTGCGGTGTCCCCAAGGGGAGCTGCGTGTTGAGTCCGCCCAGGGCCGGCGCCTTGAAACCGGAGGGGTTCTGCAGGGCGTAGGGGAACAGGGAGGTCTTCATCTCGGCCATGTTGTGCAGCGCGGCTAGCGGCGCACTGCTAAGGACGAATGCGCTCTGGCGATTAGCATCCATCTGTCCCACCGCTAACATCTGCGGGCATCAGCGAGCGTGGGTCCTTCCCAATCGCGCCGCGGCCGCTCCGCTGGGGACCCTCGCCGGGAGCGCGGCCGCGGGCGGGACGGCCTCCTCACCGCTCGCGGGATCTCGGCGACAGCGAGCGCCGAAGTTTGCTGGGAACAGAAAAATCCCGGCGCTTGCCCGCCCGCGCACCTCCAAAGTCCAGGCTGAAGAGCGGCGAAAGCCGAGCCGGGGCAGCGCGGCGAAACAACAGATCGGGAGTCCGGAAGAAAGAGCCCCCACCGGCGGCGCGTCCTACGGGCAACGCGCTCCACCGGCGGGAGGGGGACGCGGGACCTGCAGCTCCGCGCGTCGCCCCGGCCGCGTGTCCGGCGGCCACGGGGACGCTCCGCGCCGCGCCCCGCGCGCAGATAACCGCGCGGGCACCTGCGCGCCCCGCGCCCATTGGGCGGCCACCGCCCCGCGCCGCCAACAGCGCCCAATCGGCGGGCGGCGCGCGCCTCCACCCCGGTACGTCACGGCCGGGCCGAGCCGTGGGAGCGCGCGGGGCTGCACGTGGCCGCGCCGTGCCCGACGGGACCCCCGGCCCCGCCCGCCGGGACCCCCGGCCCCGCCCGACGGGCCGCTCTGCCCCCGCCGGCTGCCCGCTGCCGCACCCGGAGGCGGCGGTGCCCTCCCACTCGCCGCTTCGGGCCCCTCCCGCCGGGCGGGGACGCGGCACAGAGACCGCCGGCGCCTCATCGAGCAGCGGGGCAGTGACCGCGGGGTCCTGGCGGCTGCGCTGCCCCGGAACACTGAGGGGTAACACCCGCCCCGATCGCTTCTCAGTAATCGGCTCCGTATTCAGTTGTGCGGCGGCCGTTCTCTCGCATTAGAGCCCAATTTTTTAAAGGTGTTGTTAAAAATTACCTTATGCCCTAGTAATAACTGTTTAGCTCAACTTTGTTGCCTATTCTGAAACCCACTGGCCTCGCAGAGGCTTGCCTTCCTTCCTTCCTTCCTTCCTTCCTTCCTTCCTTCCTTCCTTCCTTCCTTCCTTCCTTCCTTCCTTCCTTCCTTCCTCCCTTTAAAGGAAGAAAAACAGTTGAATCACGGCAGGAACAAGTTCCTTCGAATAAATAAAATTACCAGAGATATTCCTAATCGAAAGCGTAATTCATTGTCAAGAAAAGGAGAAACCGGGTTTGAGGCTTATACAGAAAATAATTCCGGAAACTGTTTTTACGGCATGTTTTCCGCCTTGCACCTGCTTTTTCCTACGGGTTTGATGCTTTGTTATCCGAGGAAAACATTAACCACAACAAGCTGGGAACTAAATATTTTCAAAGTGTTCATAAAGTAAATATGAATCGACTTGATCATTTCAGAACAATTATTAAAAGTGTGATCCTTTGGATGTGGTCATGTCTGCCGTCAGAATCGTTTGCAGATGAACAGGGTTTCGTTTAACCTGTAACAAGATCGTAATGTCAGTGTAGGTTTGGGTTCGCCCATGATCTTTGTTTTCAATCGCTGGAGTTACGGGATGTAACAGTCCGTGCGTCTTGTTTTGCGCATCTTTGTAAAAAGCTTAACGTACAAACGTGAGATTAAAAACGACGCTGCGCTAGAGAAAGTTTAATAAACTACTTCATTGCTTTTCCCTCTGCCTGTTGCAAACATCAGCAGCGGAGGGAACAGACACGGTGTATCGGGCTTTGTGAGGAGAGCTTCATCAGCTCTGTGCAGGCTCGTTTCCGCGACGCCGGCGTGCGTTGGGAAGGGGCTGCCAGCTGCTCCCTCCGCCTCCGGCGCGGCCCCGACTCACGGCGGCGTTGAAAGCTGCGGCAGGTGGCCGCAGACGGGACTGATCGCCCCTCCCGGTGAGCCGTGGTTTCAGCTCGGGATCGGGGACCACCCGTCCCGGGCAGGCAAGTGCCGGCGCGCAGCCAGCCCGCGGCTCGTCTCGGTCTCTGCCTCTCCGGGGCGAACACCGCCGGGTTTGTCCGCGTCCCGCCGGTCTGCCCGCCCCAGTGCGGTGCTGGGGGCCAGCAGCGCCTCTGCCCGCCCAGCCCACAGATCTTGCTGCTCTGAATGCCGACCCCGCGGCGCTGAGCGGCTCGGTTCGGTTCGGCTGACGAGAGGGACGCGTCCCGCCCCGGCCGGGAGCCGGGTGCTGATCCGGACACAGGCAGCCGGCAGCCGCTGACCGAGGAGCGGCCTCGCCGGGACACCGCTTTCTCGCGCGGGACCGATGGAACCGGGTAAGCGTGCGGCCTCCGCCGTCCCCACTGCGGCGGGGCGAGACCGACCCCCTCCCGCCCGTGACGGGTGAGCTGTCCGCTGGGCTGCCGTGCCGCCGGTAGCGGAGAGCCGCGGCGAAGCGCGGTGTCCGTGCCGGTGTGTGTGTCCCGCCGCAGCCAGGAGCACGCAGGGGGCCTCTGCACCGCGGCGGCCGGTGGCCCTGGAGGGGCTGCTACCTCGGGACCCTCGCCCATCGGCGCGCGGGTCCCGGGGGCAGAGCCAAAGCCTTCCGCCCCGTCCGAAGCAGCCCTCGGAGTCCGGTTGGCAGTTTGTATGTTATCAGTGACACTTGTTGCACATTAGTGGTGCGTTTGTCCCTTTCATTGACTCCTGAAGTCTCATACCCTCGTTTTTTACGCGTAGAAATATGTGGAGTTTGTAGGCAGCGTGGCGTGATAAATCTACTTGTGCGTCGGTTCTTCCGATGAGGTGTGGCACCGAAAGAGGAGACCACGGGCAGGCATCGCCGGCTGTCTCCGGCTCCCCGCCCCCGGGCTGCTCGCGAATCCCGTTTCCGCCCCGCCGCTCCCTCTCCCCGATGCTGTTGGGTCCCAGGTGCTGCCAGGCTGCTCCGGGGCCAAGGACTGCCCTAGCCCTTAAGCAAACCCCGTTCCGAGTGCAAAACTCGTTCCCCTCGGAGACGTCGCAGTGGCCGGGCAGTCCTAGGGGCGACTGCACCGGCCGCAACGCGCAGCTCCCGCAGCCACGCCCGGGAGCCTCCCGCAGATGAGAGGTGGTCTCGGTAATATAAGTCGGGGATTCCGTCCCTAGGAGTCAGCGGCTCAGAGGCTGCCGGAGCGCTCGCTGTCTCCCGTGCTTCCTGCGGCCGAGCAGAAGTTACTGATGGTGGGGTTACCCGAGCAGATATGTATGAACCAGCTCGAGGCACTTGTGACGGCAGGTGCGGGCGCTTTCCCGGGTTAGCCCGGCAGCGCTGCAGCGCGTCCCGCCGGGCGGACACGACACCGGCACTGTTCGTGTCGCCGCTTTCGGGACGTTCATTTCGGCGGAGGAGAACAGGGCCGGGCTGCGGGCAGCGCCGTCACCTGCCCGGGCCCCGCCGCGCCCGCGGGGCCGCTCCAGCCTCCGGCCGCCTCCGCGACCCGCCGGCGCCCCCTGGTGGCCCCGGGCACCGGGCCGGTGCACCGAGCGGTTCGTCCGCTCCGCCAGCCGGACCCGGTCTCGTTCCCCCCAGCCGGGTCCGGTCTCGTTCCCCCCGGCCGGG